TTGCTAATTCTTCAAGAATTCTGCTTCAATTGAAGCGCCAACATGGTTGGCATCCTTAGTGTAATGAACAATGTTTTACTGACACAATCTAAATACTTACAAAGTTCCAGCAAAATTAGTGCTCAAATAAGCTTGATCTTCGGGAAAAAACCTTGCTAGGCCGAAATCTCCAATTCTAGGTTGAAATTTGTTGTCCAGGAGGATGTTGCTTGCTTTGATATCCCAGTGTATAATTCTCACGTGTGAATCTTCGTGCAGGTACTGCAAGCCTTGAGCAATTCCAAGAATTATTTGGAAGAGAGTGCTCCAGTTCAAAAACAAGTCAGTTTTCCCTGTATCAAGAAATAACCAAAGCAGAAAGTCATTAAGGAAATAACCCTCAGGCGAAATCTGCTTTCAGTTAGTTATAGAATGAATGGCGTATCACAAATTATAAGCACAAGACAGACACGTATCACATAATTTGGGTCTACGAAGAGAGAAATATAAGTTATACCATAAATTATCAGGTCTAAACTCCTATTCTTCATGTATTCATACACAAGCAGCCACTGATCTCCATCCAAGCAACACTCCAGAAGGCGGACCAGGTTCTTGTGTTGTATACTGGTGATCATCCTCACCTCTGAGAGGAATTCTGATTCTCCTTCCTGTGATTTGGTAACGGACAATTTCTTTACAGCAATCAATCTCCCGCCTTCTAACTTGACCTATGAAAAGTAGGAGGAAAAAGTCAATGCAATGTTATTGTCTCTTGGATTCATGAGGTATACACCCAAAAGGAGCCTCCTAGTTAATAAATGAAAGCAATTTTATAATATCATACACAATAAGGTCAGAGCTCCATAATGGACTCCTTGTCAATTCTATGGAATTTTTGAAAAATTAATAATATAATGAAAATGCAAAACAGATTTATGCTATCTAATTACCAAGAAGACTGGCCCAAATCAACCACATCCAAGTAGATAATCATGGTGGAAATTCTTGGTTGACCTCTTCAGTGTTTGAAATTCGAACCAGCTTATTGTGTGAAGATTTCCCCATATAATATCCTTTGTTACTGCAAGAAATTAAAAGATTAGATCATAACAAAGTAATTATGCATTATAATTCTCAAATTCTCCTACAATATCATATCCACAACCTGGTTTCTTCCTTGTGCAAGCGATAATTTCCATGTTGATGGATTGATGAATTTCCCAAAGACAAAGAACAGAATTAGCAAAATGAGAAGCGTAACTATTGAAAGAAATGATAAGAAGGGCTTGGTAAATCATACCAAAGCCATATGTTTACTACATATTTATAGGAGCAATATTTACAGATTTGAAACATTCACATCCTCTAATGTAGCAAAATTACAGTAAATAATTCCTACAGATAATCCTATTGCCATCCTGGACATATGGCAGATTTGGAGCCTTCATCATTGCTAATATCAATCAACATTGCTGGTACTTTTATGAGAACTGGGAACAGGAATGGAAGGTTGCTGTCTAACACCCCCCCGCAAGCCAATGGGGAGGTCACAGACCATGAGTTTGTCCTTCAACAGTTGAAATCGGGAGGATGTTAATCCTTTTGTGAAAATATCACCCACTTGATCCACTGAAGAGATGTACTGAATGCAAACATCACCATTTACCACCTTTTCTCTAATGAAATGAAAATCCAC